CATGTACTAGTAGGAAATTATGGCACAAGACATAGACATTTCTTTTCCCCTTAAGTATTTTGTTTCATTAAAATCTTTAATGTTGGGTGCGGTGGTGGTGCATGCCTGTGATCCCAGCAGTTGAGAGGCTAAGGCAGGAGGATTATGAATTGGAGGCTAGCCTGAACTGCATAGCAAGACCTTGTCTCAAAAAACAAAACAAAAATAACTTCATAAACTGAGTACTTCATATTATAAAGTTTGTGTCTGAACCGTTGTAAATGATGCTTCAGTGAACTTCTTTGCATGTTTATATGTTCATGTGTATCTATTTCTGATATTTTCTTTTGAATAGATTGAAAAGTGTTATTGATAGTTTAGAGAATTACGAATATTTAAAATTATTAATATACACATTGCTAAATTGCTTACCAAAAAGACAAGCAGTTGACATTCAAACAGATAGTACACGGGAATAGTCATGTACCATTGCTAATTCTTGTTTTTATTTTAATGGTTGAAATGGAGAGAGTATTGTTACCCTTTAGATTACTTGTTTAGGAAAGAACTAAAGTTTTTCAGAGGATGTGGATTTATGATACTTAATAGTATTAGCATTATATTAGCTATGACTCTTCCCTTTTTCATTGTCTTTTTTTTTTTTTTTTTGGTACCGGGGATCGAACTCGGGTCCTTGCGCTTGCGCAGCAGGCGACGAAACCACTGAGCTAAATCCCCAGCCCAACTCTTCCCTTTTTCAACATGAGGTAACAAGCGTTAATCAGAAAAGAAAATATTGTGAACTTTGTTCATCTATTTTGCCACAAAGGTGACTAGGTATTAATAGTCTAGTTCTGAGTTTCTGCTCTGATTTGTAAATTTGATTCTCTTTTTATTACCCAGCCTAAAGAAAATACGTGGCAAAGTCTGGAAGCAGAGAATATCTAGCCCTCTGTTCAACACCAAACAATACACAATGGAACTAGAGCGGCTCTATCTGCAGATGTGGGAGCATTATGCAGCTGGCAACAAACCTGACCACATGATTAAGCCTGTTGAAGTCACTGAGTCAGCCTAATAAAGACTGTGTACAGGAGAATTACCCCTATACCTGAACCTCAACCTTCTGGGGGAAAGAGAACTAAGTGATAACATACTTTTTACTTATCTGTACAGTACCATGTTGCAGATGGGTGATATATAATGGTAATAGAATAGCACAGCCAGACTTGCTTCCTGCACAGTAGGGAGAAACACAAGAGATGGGAAAATGCTGTTCCACAAGGAATCTCCAGATTCTGCATCAACCAGGGCTGGAAGGTCTGATCTCCCTTGGTCTTCCGTGGGATGGTTATTGTGGAGGGGAGATACAGATTGTCCAGCCTTTTTGTGATTCCATGGATTGAGTCTTCTGAATTAGTCTTTTTTTTTTTTTCCTTTATATTTTTGGGTTTGGAGCTTTTAAAAATATTTGGTTTCAGGTATTTTTATCATGTGAAATGTTTTTGATTCTCTTGAGATAAGGTTTTAAGCTAAAATGTTGCTCCCTTTTTTAGTTTCTAAACTGACAGATTAAGGAGGACTTTGCTGGTGTAGTCTTTTTATAGGTTTTATAAACCACTTGAGCCTATATCAGTCATTTTAGTGTCTGACCTGATATTTGGAGCTATCTATGCTTTGTTGGTTTAAATGATGACTCAAGATTTTTCCTGGTCTTATTTCCTATTACCTTCTCTCCTCAACCTCACTCCCTTTAAAAATTCTCCTGTAACTAAGCTAACAAAATCATGTCTGATTCAAAACATCCCAGAGTGTTTCTCTTAAACACATCACCTGGTGCCAAATGAAAATTCTTAGGAGTAATTTACTAATTATGAAGGGCACAGTTGTGGTACTGTCATTGATGAATATATGAATATTGTTTTTTTGTTTTGTTTTTTGGTTTTTTTGCTTAATTTTGACCTATTTCACCAGTGTTTTATCCTTGACTGCCTCTTCTCTGCTGCTTCCACAAATGATAGTGTGTGATAAGATTTTTACCTTCCTTTCTAAAGTTTGTTTTTTTTTTAAAGTGAGTCCTGTTCTTCCTATTTCTTTCAGCAGAAATGAAATCCCAGGTAAGTATAAGTATTCAAATATTTGATCAGTAAGTTACAGTTATCTTCACTACATTAAGTAACATTCATTGAAAAATGTGTTACAGGTAAAATCACTGAAGGACCATCTATGTATGAAACTAATTATTTTCCAGACTTTGTTTTAGGGTATTATATAATAACTGTCTTCTGGACTTGGTTTTGAAGTCTGTATGGATTCAGCCTCATTTGTAGCCAACTACAATATTACTTGGTATGGAGTGCAAATTAGGCTTGTTAGCAGCTTGAGTTTTTGGTATCAAAAACCATAGGAATAAAGTTATCAAATTTCATAAAGGGTCAGAGGCTTGAGGCTTAAGCCAACATATGAAAATATGTTTGTCTTGCTGTACTGTACTTATGATATCAAGTCACAGATAATTTTTTGTCTGCTAGTAGTGTTCTAGATAATAATGTCTTTCCAAAGCTCTGAGGCAGTGCACCTATTCTGTAGTTGCAGCTGTTGCCTGAATGTATCCTGGCTGACAAATTATTGAATAATAAGAACTTGAATTTCTGAAAGATTATTACTGCTAACCAAAATCTGAGTAAGGAGTCTTAAATGTAATTCTGCTTCAGAATTACATGTTAATGAACTGTGTACCTTTCAACAGTGTAAATCAAGAAACATCGGTTAAGGGATTTCTCAGTTTATTTTTTATCTGATTGAGATATCAGTTAAGATTGCTAGCAAGGTTGCTGATAAACTGATGTGAAGTTCACTGAGCTGCTCATTGTGAAATAGGATATTATACTTCCAATGCCCTCAAGGCTGTAGCCTTACAGCTGTTTTACATAGCACATCTTTCCTCCTATAGGGATGAACTTTTCTGGCACGAAAAGTAGCCGCTCTGGTTAAAGCTTCGCTTATTGTAACAGGCTTTTATTCCCAGGTAATATGTCTTTGGAAGACTTAATTCTGAATAGAGATATAGACATTACTGGAAACTAATTTTTTTTCTATTATACTCTGCTTTATCAAAAAAGTAAAACACTTAAATTGTGCTACAGGAATTCAGATGTTGTCTTGCAGTCTTTAAATAATAAATGATTTCCCCTTAATATGGCTGATTATTGTAAATATTGAACAGAATAATGGGGGCATCCATGGTGAAACCTACATTTGAACAGGTACAAACAAATGTGACAGATTTTCCTACTATAGTTGTAATACTAAGAATTTTTTGTTTATTCAACCAAGTCTGATGGAGGGGTGGGATTGGTATTTGATCCTTTAAGAAGACACCTAAAAGAACCATTGATATTTGTTCTACTTTTGCTTATGACCACTGTGTCCTCATTTACTCTTGAGGCCTCATTCTTTGTGTGGACTATTTGGGTTTTTTTGTGGTTTTTTTTTTGCATTTTGGAGCAAAGTTAATTTTCTTGCTGATTTGTGAAGTGGTTAAACTCAGCCACAGGGGAGAGGAGGATTTCAGTGTATTAGGAGTCTTGGACAAATTATTTGGCTGCCAGTTTTCTCAGAGATAAGAGGGGAAATTTTGTTCTCAATAAAATTTTAGGTGATTTACTTTCCAGCTTGTCTTCATTGGTTTCCTGAAAGAGTATGGGAAGAAAGGTGTCCATCTACTTCAGCTTCTTCCTTTAGTCTAAGGGACTTGTTTGCATGTTTTGAATAAACTTACACTGTATAACCTCTGAACTAACTGCCTTTAAAAAAAACTTTTTTTGAGATATTGGGAATTGAACCCTGGGCCTTCATACTGAGTTACAGTCCCAGCCCTTTTATTATTTTTTATTTTGAGACAGGCTCTTAGTGAGTCATTAAGTTGCCCCGCATGAGCTTGAAGTTGGAATCCTCCTGGCAGCCTCCCAGAGTGCTGGGATTGCAGGCATGTACCACCATGCTACTAGGCATAAAGTGCTTTTAGATTCTATTCAAATCCTAACCCACTCTTGTTTGAAGCATATGTCTTAATATGTAACATTTAGGGTCTTTGTTCAAACCTCTAAGGCATAGTTACATAATCCCCTATTTATTTATTTATTTTGGTACTGGGGATCGACCTTGCGCTGTCGAGGCAGGTGGCGGAACCACTGAGCTAAATCCCCGGCCCCGTAATTCCCTTTTTATGAAGAAGACTTACACAGGAGGAGGCTTCATTTGCAGGTTGGTTATTAGATAATATTAATGAACATCTCCTTTTATCCCATACCCCATCAACTCAAAAGTACCTTTATATATGTAAACAGTTAGGTGCATAAGGAGTTTTGGAGTTAGCATTGTTGGAGTTTGAATCTCAGGTCTGATACTTTCTAATCATATGATCTCTTAAAATGAGAGCACTAAGTCCTTTCTTTTTTAGTTGAACACATAGGTGTTGCTATGTTGCCCAGGCCTCAGCTTCCAGAATGGCTGGCATGACAGGGACATGCCAGCATACCTGGCTTTTTCACTACTATCTATGTCTGTCTGTCTGTCTGTCTGTCTATCTATCTATCTATCTATCTTTATTTTTGCGGTACCAGGGATCAAACTCAGCACTTTACACTTATGAGGCAGGCATGGCACCACCGAGCTCCATCCCCAGCCCTATTGCCTACTTTTTAAAGCATCACTGTAAAGATTAATAAATCCAGGGCCGGGGGTTTAGCTCAGTGGCGCCGCACCTGCCTCGCAAGTGCAAGGTCCTGAGTTGGATCCCCAGTACCAAAAAAAAAAAAAGATTAATAAATCCAGGGCCCAGGATTTAGCTCAGTGGCACCATGCTTGCCTAGCAAGCACAAGGTCCCGAGTTTGATCCCTGGTACCAGGAAAAAAAACCACATTAATTCACATAAAACACTTGGAACAATGCCTATCACAATAAAACTATCAAACACTGGGATGATTTATTTATATTGGGTTGGCCAAATAGTTAAATTATGAAATGTATGGGTTGTGGAAAGAAGGGCACAATCTAAAAAAAGACATTAACTTCCATTTGCTTTTCTTTGTGTTTGGGGTGAGTGCCAAAACACAAATAATCAAGTGTTTATCTCTAGGAATCTGACGGTTCTAGAAGTGAACTTCCTAATTCAGTGATTCTAGGCCATCTTAGGTTGCTGCCGCGCTCTTAGCTAGGGTGGCCCTCCCCCATTAGCTCCACGTAGTTTCCAGGGCTGACAAGTGATTCGCAGTTTGGGCAATTCAAGCTAGGAACAACTTTCACTTATCCAAGTTCTCACAGGCACAAAACGTTAAGGGAGGACTTGGTTTGGTTTTTCTTTATCACTCAAAAAGGTAATTTAGAGACCTTTAACCACGGAATCGGGGTCCCTGAGCTCTATCAAAATGGCATGTGTGACAACTTGTGGAAGCGACTGATCTCACACCGGAAGCAGTGTGACGGCATGGAAATTTTAGTTCATAACCGTTCATAGGGTAAACTTCAAATTTGCGTTGCGACCTCCTTATGGTTAGGTGGGTACAGGGAGGGCGGGACCACTTCAGTTTCTATCCCAGCCCCCCTCGGGTCTGGGCTTTATAAAAGGTTGTGAGCCCGGCGTCCCCTGCAGTTGCTGAGGATCTCGCATACCTCCAACCTCCGCTGCGAGTGAGCTGCCAACCGCCACACCAGAGACACGACAGCAGCTAAGTGACTGGTGGGCTGAGATGGGTGTCAGTTGAGCAGGTTTAAGTAAAATGAGGACCACACCTAACCTCGGACTGACTGCTCCGTCAGCCTTGGGACAGGTACTTAGCCTGTTTTCCCTTGTCCCTCCAAGATAAAGCTACAGTACTGGGACGTTTATTTTTTGGTACTGGGGATCGAACTTGGGTCCTAGCGCCTGCGCAGCAGGCGGCGAAACCACTGAGCTAAATCCCCGGCCCCATGTTTAACATTTTTTAAAAAGGGAGACCTGCAATGGCATAGATGGGGAATGGTGTGGGGGGTAAAGATACCGGTGGGGGCGTGAGTGGAGCGTTCAGGGGGTGGTTCTCGGCAGCGCCTTGAGGCCGGTGTAGGGGATGGGGGCTTAGGTGTGTATTGGTGTGGAGACGAGCAGAAAAAACCTGCTGATGAGGTGGGGTGGAAGTAGGGATAAATGGGGGAGGAGTGAGAGTGGTCGAGGCCTGACCCCCAGAGGACCCGCTAGCAAGTTGAGGTGGAAGTTACAGTGAGCAAAGGTTTTGCTGGGGTGTGGGGATGCTGATGTGTTGAAGGCTGAGTAGCGGTATGTGGGAGGTGAGAGTTGGGGGTAGGGGAGAAGCTGGACAGAGCTTGAGGGCGCTGGGAGCGAGACCTGTGGAGGTTGGGCTGTGGGCCAGCGGTGGGGGAAGGGTGGTGGATTGAGGCCTGATTGATGGAAGCCTGAACACTTCCACATCACTCTTCGCATCTCACCCCATGGCTGGCCGGCCACAGGAGGGCAGCAGAAGTAAGCACGGGTGGAAGGGTGGGAGGGAATAGGTGGAGGTTGGATTGAAGAGGTACTGGAACGGCAGTGAAGGGACGGCCTAGAAAGACTGGATGACTGGATTAGAGTCCGGAATAAGGACGTGTAGTAGTGAGGCGGGGGGAGGGGTGGGTGAAGGAGTTGACGCCCGATAGGCGGTGGAAAATTTCTTTGGGGAAGATCGGCTGGGGATGTGGGAATTGGAATCGCTTTGGGAGTGAGGGGACTGAATAGAGGTTAGGAAATTATTAGCTTTACTGAGAGGAAAATTTTTTATCTAACGTGGGTTAACGAATGTCTTTGCTGCCTCCCTAAGGCGTAGCATATGAAATAACTTTAGGGGCCACTGTTTGCTTTGGACTTTTCTGATTAATCTGCAAAGAACCCTGGTGAGGCAGGTTGGGGTAGGTGATAGGCTTTGTTTCTCTAGGGCTGGGGTGTGTGTGTGTGTGTGTGTGTGTGTGTGTGTGTGTGTGTGTGTGTGTGTGTGTGTTTGTGGTATTTGGGATCAAACTCAGGACCTTGCGCTTGTGAGGCAGGTGGCAGCACCACTGAGCTAAATCACTGGCCCTCTCTAGGGGTGTTTTTTGAGGAGGGGTTTTTAGAGCCTTTTGGGGGGCCGGGTACCAGGGCTCTAACTCTCGGGACCTTGCGCTTGTGTGGCAGGTGTGGGTACCACTGAGCTAAATCCCCGGCCCTGATGAGGGGTTTTATTTGTTATGAACTTCTGGGCTCAAGCAATTCTCTTGCCACAGCCTCTTTAATATTGGGACTGTAGGCGAGCACCATCGCCAGGGCTTCTCTAGTTTTTTCACCCAGAGGAAGCCTCTAATAAAACAAATTTAAAATGCTTCTCATGCCACAGGTTGTGGTGCATTCCTGTAATTGCAGTACACTGGGAAGCTGAGGCAGGAGGATAGCAAATTCGAGCCCATCCTGGGCAATTTAAGAAGACCCTGTCTCAAAATTAAGAAATAAAAAAGGTTGGGAATGTAGCTCTGTGAAGATGTTGGTTCAATTGCCAGTTTGGGGGAGGGGGCAAAAAAAAGCCTCTCATTTCAGAGTAAAGCTTCAGCTTTAAATTAGGGTAAAGAAACTGCCCAAAGATAAATGCAGAATATAGAAATGTCTCATTGGTTCTCAGTTAATGATTTTCTTATGTATATCTTTGTCTTGACTACAGAAATGGACAAGTCCAAAGAAAAGCTTTACCAAGCTGGCCCATCATATACTCAGGATAAGGACTGGTGAGAATTGAAAAATTCCATTTTCTCAGTTTATTTTAAATTTTTCTTAGTTTAGCCTTACTTTCAGTGAAACAACTTTTTCAAAAAAGATATGTTGGGCAGGGGATTTAGCTCAGTGGTGCCACCGCCTGCCTCATAAGCGCAGGATCTGAGTTCGATCCCCAGTACAAAAAAAAAAAAGAAAAAGATATGTTTATTTTATTTAGAATCCACAGAGTATATAAGTTGGTTAAATCTTTTTTTTGGTACCGGGATCGAACTCAGGATCTTGTGCTTGCAAGGCAGGCACCCTGCCACTGAGCTAAATCCCCAGCCCAAGTTGGTTAAATCTTAAAATGAGAATTGTAAAGAAGGATCTGAGAATCTAGAGTCCAGCCTCCTCTACAATGCACGAGTCTTCTGTGTAATATTTCTGTTAGGGGCCTGGCAGTTACAACTCCATGAAGCAATACAATGCATTATTGAATCTGTATAAATTCATTTTATTTATTTATTTATTTTTTTTTGGTACTGGGGATTGAACTTGGGACCTTGCGCTTGCGAGGCAGGCGGCGGAACCACTGAGCTAAATCCCCAGCAAATGTGTATAATTTCTAGAAAGTTATTTGTTCTGATGAAATTCAGACCTGCTGTTACATAACTTCTAACCCATTGTTGATGGTGCTGACCTCTTGAGAGACCTAGATGGAGTATTTTTTAAATTTTGTTTTATTTTTTTCCCCTTTAGATACTAGGGGTTAAATCCAGGGATACTTTACCACTGAGTTGTGCCTCTAGCCCTTTTTACTTTTTATTGTGAGACAGGGTCTCACTAAATTGTTCAATTTGGGCTTGTACTTTTGATCTTCCTGCCTCAGCCTCCTGGGTAGCTGGGACTGCAGGTGTATACCACTGAGCCCAGCTGCAGGACTTATTTGAAAATAGCTGTCTCTTCTAAGTTGTCTCTCTTCCAGAGCACTGCTCGGTTTTCCTCTCTCACAAACAAGCATGTAAGTATATAATATGGAGAAAAGTACAAACCATAGAACAGAGAAGTCTGCATAAGAATCTAATACATATGAAAATTTAGCTCATGATAAAAATGATAAAAATGATATTTAAGATCAGTGGGGAAAAGATGGATTAATCAATAGAAAATTTGAGGATAATTAGCCAGCCACTTGGAAAAAGAGTTGGCTTCTTAATGTGTAACATATATCAAAATAAATTTCACATAATCAAATATTTAAAAACCAAAAAAATGAAGCCACTAAAAATCCTGCAAAAAAACATGAATCTTGTTTCTAATAATTTTGGAATAGGAAAGTTTTCTGAGTTTAATATCAAATAAAAGGCCTAAAGATGGCAAATAAAAAACTGGAAAAATATTTGCTTTATGTATGATAAAGGGTATTTTAATTTATAAAGAACTTTAGAAATAATTTTATTTTAAATTTTTTATTGGTACATATTTGCCATATATAGTGCTCACATTCATCATAGAGAATTTGTACCTGTACAATTTTTTTCCCATCCCTTTCCCCTCCCTTCAACGCTTCTACCCTCCCCATTGACAGAAGTTTTGTTTCCATTTTTTCCTTCCTTTCTTTTTTGAGACAGGGTCACACTATGTTGTTCAGGCTGGCCTTGAACTCACTATGTACCCTAGGCTGGCCTTGAACTCAGGGCAATCCCCCTGCCTCAGCCTCCTGAGTGCTGGGATCACACACTTGCACCACCATAGTCAGCTTTTAATCCCCCCCCATTCCCCTTCCCATTTGAACATTTTCTTTCTACTTCTCAATATCTATCCTCCATTTTGCTCCTTTTTTGCCCTTAGAGTTTCTTGTACAAGAGAAGCAATGCAATATTTAAACTTGTGTATCTTATTTCTTTTACTTAAAATTGTGGTCTCAAGGGCCGGGGATTTAGCTCAATGGTTCCGGTGCCTGCCTCACAAGCGCAAGGTCCCGAGTTCGATCCCTGGCACCAAAAAAACAAAAACAAAAAAATTATGGTCTCGAGGTGCACCCATTTTCCTACAAATGACTAAAGTTTATCCTTATTTTCTTTGTCTTTTCATCTGTTGATGGGTATTTGAGCTGCGTCTAAGATTTAGCTATTAT